TTTTTTTTTTTTTTACTTGGATGTGAAAATAATAGAGCAAGACAATCCTTCAAGGCCACACAGGGAGTGAGATGCCTTACCCTGTGTTATTGGAGAACTGAGGGTGGGGTCTGGCCCCGTGTGCTTCCTTTTGTTACCGAGGTCCCTCCAGAAAAGCAGACCCCAGGGACCGTGGCTGAAAGCAGAAGGACCTGAACATGAAACTCTTAAGTCCTATGGGGCATGGTTGCAATGTTGCACCTTGCTTGGGTGTTTGTAGTGTCCTCGGTGATTCAGTGTCTCAACACTGACCTGCAGCAGGACAGGAAAGGGATTAAAAGTCTTGCATATGCCTTGATATTAGCAGAGAAAATTTAATAACGGTCCCCAAGAAAGTAATAATATATCCAGAGTTAAAACATTATAAAGAACATAGAGTATGGAAAGAACTTTGTAAACAGAAGCTTCAGTATCTGTAAGAAAAAAAAAAACAATAGACATATTTAGACATAATAGGCATAAATAGCAAAGCTGGGGAGTCGCCTGAGTGATTTCTGAAAAGGAAGAACCTGGGAGACACTGAGGAAAACCAGAGCTGAGTAATACTTGCTAACAGTGAGGAAACTATTTGCATGAATGAGGAGTTGAGGAGTGCCGTGTGATCTGCGTGTTTGGGAGCTAATTAAGATCTTGTTCACGAGGTGTCATAGACCAGCGGGCAGCCCAAGAAACAGTATAAAAAGGGACCAGAGCACCGAGAGCCTCAGACGACTCCTCCTTACTTCTTCTCTTTGGTGTCCTGAGTAAGTTTGACCCCACTTAATCTTTCTGACTTAAAGCATCGTGCTTGAGTAGGTTGAACTGAATTTTCCAGAAATATTCTGCTTGTCTTGCTCACGCCTCTTTTTCCTTGAAAACGTTCTCCTTTCTCAGGCTTGGCTGGATGTAGCGGGTTTTGCTGCAAAACTTGGTGATGGGAGAGCTCCGGCTTGTTTGCCACTGGTCCCTTTGGGGATGGCCAGCTTGGGCAGCGCTCAGCGTGCGGAGAGCCTGGGAGGGAGGAGGGAGGGCAGGGGAGGGGGAAGAAAAAGAGAAAGAAAAACCACCCAAACCTTAGCAGAGCAACTCTGCATGGCAAGTCCTGAGCCCCCCCAGCTGCTGGCGAGGCAGAGCAGGGTGGTCTGTGCGGCAGCTCGCGAGCAGTGGGTTGAGTCAGGCTCCCCGCGGGGTGTGTTGCAGGTCCAGCTCCCGGCCCCAAGGATGTCCTGCAGCCAGCAGCTCAGCTCCCGCTGCTCCTCACCCTGCGAGGTGACCTGCCCGCAGCCCATCGCCGACGCCTGGAGCCAGCCCTGCGTCACCTCCTGCGGGGACTCGCGGGCTGTGGTCTACCCACCGCCCGTGGTCATCACCTTCCCCGGCCCCATCCTCAGCTCCTGCCCTCAGGAGAGCATCGTGGGCTCCTCGTCCCCACTGGGGCTGGCCCGTCCCCGGGGCCTGCAGGGCTCCCTTATCTACGGGGGCTCCTTGTCCTCCTCCTCCTCCTCTTCCTCTTTCAGCCGACACTGGAGGCAGCGCTATGGGGGCTGTGGGCCCTGCTAAGCGTGGCCGAAGTTGTGGATGGCAGGAGAAACAGCAGGGGAACTGAAGGCAAGACCCGGACACGCAACTGGAGCTCTCCAAAGCCTCAGGCACCCACGATTCCCAGCTAATCCTCTGGGACCTATGGGTGCTGCTCAGCACCCATGGAAACCACTCTTCCGCTTGCCCTTCTTATCCTCTATTTGATTTTAATGTCAGTTTTATCAAACTCTGTCTTTTCCACTTTTAGAAACCAAATTACCGGCTGTGCAATATCTGTTTCTCACTGTTAGAACACAAAAGCGCTACCATCACTGGGAAGTGGTCTCTGTATGTTTTCAGCTGTTTGGGACCATGTTGGTTTTTTTTTTTTTTTCTTTGCTATTCTTTTCCTTTGAAACTTATATATTTAGTAGGAAAGATCTATAGATGTCACCTCACACTGTGATTTGTCCACTCCGTTTGAAACTTGAACCAAGACAGAAGAACAACGTGCTGAAAAGAAACCGGTTTCATGCCGGTTATCATGTTGGCCCTTTTTTAAAACACATGTCCACCTTGTATTTTTTTCTTTCATTTCTTAACACGTAACACCTCTCATCCCAATAAACACGTATGATTGCATCCAAATAACATCCGTCTGTTTGCTTTCTTCTTTCTCTTGGGGTAATTCAGCCTCCGCAAACCAGCTGACCTAAACCATCCCCTTATCTTCGAGATCTGGAGATGAGTGTTATGCTCTTACAGACAGTGTTTATATAATGCCCATGGATTCATTTATCAGGAAACTCCGCTTACAACATGCAGAGCTTGCCTGCATGCTTGATTTAATCTTTACAAGGAACCAGGTGTGAGAACTGCCCAACCCTCAGACAAAATTTTCGAGGCTGGAATTAATTACTAAGTAGCCACTCCAAATGTCTTTTAATAGCTCATCCCTACTTCCCCGACCTTTCTGTGAGTTTTTACCAAAACTTTTGTAATTCCTTGCACCATAAAATAAAGGGAGTATTAGATTGTGCTAGAATTCTATATAACATAGAGAAGAGAGAATATCGGGGAGCTCACAGCAGCAGAGGGAACATCCCAGAGACGTTCAGAGACAGAAAATCAGCTCGTGACGAAACCCCAGTCTGAGATACAGGACACTTGAATCTGCTTTCCTACTCTGTACTTTCATATCTAACTTTCTAGGATCATAAAACTGCCTCAGCTAGGACCATAAACGCCCACGAGGGGCCATCTTTTACTAGCTTAACTTCTTATTAATGTGCAAAGTAAAGGAGCCTCCTGGCAGAATTAAAAAAAAAAAAAAAAAAAAAAAAAGGGAAGTGTTTGCTCCTGTCCTTCTGGCCACTTCAAGCTTCAAAAGTACAGGTGGGATAACCTAAAGGGGGTGCTGCTGTCATCCAGCCTTGGATTTGGGGGTCAGGAGCCTCAGACGATGAGAACTTCATGTCCAACTTTCATTGTCAGCGACTCCATGGGCTCATTGCCGGAGACCTCGGGGCTCCTGAGTGATGGACGATTCATGGTTTGGGATGAAACGGGTCAGGGAGTGAAGCCATGCGTCACCCCAGGAGAACTTTGGGCTGTAATCTTAAAGTGCAGTTTCAGCTGATGAGGAAGATTGTCTGCTTGCTTCAGCAGATTTCTTCCTCAGATCCAGTATCCCCTGTCTTCAGTTATTTACTGATAAATCTATTTTCAATAGCGTCTATCCATTTTATGTCCCCAAGCTGACATTGAATTATGAATGCTTTTTAACCTCAAGTTGAGTTCTTTCCCTCTAAAAATCCATTCTCTTCTTAGGAATTTAAGGTTGAATGCCTGGTTTTGAGTAACCTTGAGACATCTGTTCTAAAACGTTAATTTTATTCCAGTTTGTCCGTTGACATTTGGTAGCTGTTGGCAATCCTGCAGTGTAACGCTGTACAGATGACCCATGCCAGAAGGCTGAGGAAGCCTCTTTTTGGGGCCATCTTGGGATTTCCCTCAGTGTTGTTTCCAAGCATCGCCTGTGGAGACATCCTTTAAAGCCGCTGATAATTTAGAGAATCATCTAGGTTGGAAAAGACCTTGGAGATCATCCAGTCCAACACAACTGATGGCAGAGGCTTCACATCAACGTGAAACAGGAATAGAAACAAAGGGGAAAAGATGTTGTAGGGAAACAACCCACACAGTCTGCTCCTCCTGCCCGAACCACACCTGGTTTCTCTTTGTCTGGAAGCAGGTGATGACAATGATGGCATATACCTACAGATACCTACCAGTGAATCACTTAATTCTTAGAGATGCATCCTTCTTCTAACCATCCTGCCCTCCTGAAAGGGCGAAGGGAGTTACACACCAGCATCAATACTGCTGACACCCCAGACTGCGTCTCTTGACTCATAGTGTTCGGGGTTACAGGCCTGTGCTTTGCTTTTGTAATTTTATGAACCCACAAAGCAGCATTCCGATGCCATCTTAATGTTTGATTTTTTAATTTTTTTTTTTCCCCAGTTTCATGTGCTTTACTGACTTAAACTGTTCACAGCCATTTCTGTCAGTTGAAATATGGTATAGTAAAATATTCAGAGACAAGTAGACCTATGAAAAGCAAAGTTAGCATGACATACGGACCACGTTTGACGATTCCTCCTATGACGCGTCACGCTACTGCTGTGGCACGTATGGATCCATTGTACCCTAACAAACATCAAACCTATTTGCTAAACTAGCATAAAATATTTTTGATCTATATCAGCACAGAATTTTATTGTAACACCATCAAAAAAAAAAAAAAAAAAAAAAAGCAAAAGCTTGCGTTAGTTGATTTTGGATTATTTCTTTACAAGCGTGACTAAAAATTCTTTCTGGCCGGCTTGGATGAACAACACAGTCAGGAGCAGCAAAGGGACATCCTTCGCTTCAGTTTGTAACTGAAACCCAAACTCTGCTCGGGATGCCGAGGTATTTCTGTGCAATTCTTCCGAGCCCATGGTGGACAGCTTTAGAGTCCTCCATCCAAGAGTGCACCTCATACGGTGCGGGCGGAATTTGTCTCACCTGGTAGCAGAGCACACCCAGATTGTACAGACATGTCTACTGCACCTCAGGAGGAGGCAAAGAGCAGCACACGAATGGATGAGCCAAGAGATCATCCGTCATGATCTCCAAGAGAAGGAGAATGCAACGAAAAAACGGAGTAACTGCCAACAAGGAGGAGTTGAGCAGCACTTTCTGTTTGAAGAACAGTATTTCTAAATCCTTAAAAAAATATTTATGCCTCGGTATGACTCTACTTCAAGCCGAAAACATGATTGCTGTTGGTGTGGATACACGAAGCTCTTGCTGGAGTGGCCACAAAACCTAGCTGGGACCATAAAATAAATATTCATAGGGATAACAAGACTCAGCACTGCGCTCTTGTGGCTTAGCTGAGAGGGTGACTCGGGTTGAGCGCATCAGGGGATCTCGACACCGTCCAGACGAGGGGAATTCACGTCTCTGAGCTGAAGTGTTGGCATACGCTCAGCTTGTTTTGACAACCGTGGTGCCATTTCCAGATCAGAATTACGGATGCCTAGCTGGGATTTCTTGGGATGGCATTGCTACCAAGATGAAAGTGTCATTTGCGGAGGGGGGTGTGGTTGTTTTGGTTTGGTTTGGTTTGTTTTTTTTTACTGAGATGACACCAAACTGTCACCAGCTTCCTTGGGAGCAGAGGGGGAGTCAAGTTTCCAGTAGTTCCCTTCTTGAAGGCTTTGACTTTTTAAAAATCTTAATTAAATATCAGAGCTGCTTGCATAATTCGGATTATAGGTCTGCAACAACAGACTCTTTTGTCTGATACAAGTAGAAAACAACCCTAACTAGGCACAGGATGCCATCTTAACGCCGTCTACTCTTAAAGTGCTTCTAGGCTATGTTCCTCTGTGTCCCAAACACATGATTTTGATATTTGGTTCAAAACACAGTGTGCAAGGTTCAGCCAGCTCCTTGCACACGAGTGACAACACGGATATAAAGTGAGGACAAAAGTAAAGTGGATATATTTATTTGACTACAAAAATAGATCTATTCTAACCCTAGCAACAACGCTCTGCATACGGACTCTCTGAGTCCCGCAGCACACATACTTCCCAAGGCAAAGATATTTTTAGGGTGGAATTAACAATTTAAGACGCTGGTTCTGGTTCCAGCTGCTGGGAAGGAGGAATTATGCATTGCACAGGACATAGCCTGGCCCTGTGCATATAGGTCTATTTATAATCATCAACTAATAAAAGAATGGAAGGGAGAGAGATGGGAAGAAAGGCTCAAATTAAAAAAAAAATAAAAATAATAAAAAAAAATGCTAATATTAGGATGCAGCATGATTTTTATTAGAAACAAGAAACGGCATTTACACTGATAACAAACCAAAAGGAATTGAAGGAATATTTCCAGTTTCTCAGACGTGATTACAAGCAATTTGTTAACACGGAATGAATGTTTCACACAGGGCGCTCGCTCTTCCCCTCCCCAGAGAATCTAATTTTGCCAACCAGGTTCTGCTTTGCAGCATGCAGGAAGGTTTTCTTGAGCACAGAAGCCTAACACGCGCAAAGCAAATTCCCAGACACAAATTTTGTTACGTCTTCTAGGTTGAACATTAAAAAAAAAAAAAAAAAAAAAAAAAC